ATTCCAAATTATTAACCATTAAGACAAAAAGCAAGTTGTTTTTCTATAAATGTAGAGGCATGGAAAGTATTAAATCATCTATGATCACAAACAATGATCAGAAGACAATGATATCTCACGCAATTTATTATCTTCGTGATGTTTGTTCTATAAATGTAGAGGCTTGTAAAGTATTAAATCATCTATGATCACAAACAATGATCAGAAGATAATGATATCTCACGCAATTTATTATCTTCGTGATGTTTTTTCTATAAATGTAGAGGCTTGTAAAGTATTAAATCATCTATGATCGCAAACAATGATCAGAAGACAATGATATCTCACGCAATTTATTATCTTCGTGATGTTTTTTCTATAAATGTAGAGGCATGGAAAGTATTAAAAAAATTGAAAACAACATGTTTAATAATTTCATGCGTCCGAAGCGCTTTTCTGGATTTACCTTCATCAGGAACGCTCAATGCCAAACATTTGAAATCCGAGGGATGTATAAGTACCGAACAAGTTGAAGAGCTATATAACAAAAATATCTAAAACAAATAGCCAAATTCATCTAAGGTCAACTTTGCCTGAGGGAGTTGAAACCTTAATTTTTTATAATTTCAAAATTTATAAACAGACAATTTAAGAAAAGTTTGTTATAAATGATGTCAGTACCGAAGTACTGACTACTGAGATTAAATCATCTATGATCACAAACAATGATCAGAAGATAATGAAATCTCACGCAATATTTTATCTTTGTGATGTTTTTTTCTATAAATATAGAGACATGGAAAGTATTAAATCATCTATGACCACAAGCAATGATCAGAAGACAAAGATCTATCACGCAATTTTTTATCTTCGTGATGTTTTTTGTCTATAAATGTAGAGGCTTTTAAAGTACGAAATCATCTATCACAAACATTGATCAGAAGATAATGAACTCTAACGAAATTCGTTATCTACATGTTGTTTTTCTATAAATGAAGAGGCTTGTAAATTACTAAGTCATCTATCACAAATAATGAACTACCACGCAATTTATTATGTAATCGCTCATTTTCCCAAGGGTAAAAAATATGGAAAATAAATGAAAACAATGCTATATAAATACGTTTAATTATTGTATTGTAAGTTGCACCTGATGATATTAACCAATAGCTATTACGTTATTCCATATACTACATCTAAAGAGATGTGATAGAGAGTACCGACGATACAACGTTACAATGAAAACCAGACACCCAACAGTAAAGTTTGAACCAAAATGGACAAAAATTGCATGTTTTTGCATACAAAATGCATGCATACACGTAAGGAAAGGGTAACTAAAAAAAATGAAACAATGGGCGATCTCATAAAACTAATATTTAATGGTTCTGAAGTGAAGGGATATCCTTTACCGCTCGGAGTATCCGTAGAAATGTCTTGTCGTCAAAGTCAGAAATGTGTAAAAATAAGCGGCAATGAGTCGAAAAAGGTTCAATAGTGGTACATTTTAACACATGTTTTGTCAAGCAGTCTTACTCACTGTATGCCGATCGTGTTGATACTAAATTCATAGCTGATAACCACGTAGTCGCGGGGATTTCATCGACCCAGAAACCAGTTAGGCGTATTTACAAGAAAACAAATGACATGGTTAATGTTAATGCTAATGGTGGTGTATTGTGTCATATCTCTCCTGAATTCATTTGTCTATGTTACTTTAGAAAGAAAGCTGACGTCACAAAAAAATGGGATCACCATGATATAGGCCGTTTTAAGTAACTTTATTTGTGGGTAGTCATTCTCATTGGCGAAGTTAGCAAAAGTCACGATTATACCATATTAACATGTAAAATATCTACCCATTTTTCTATTTTGAATCCTTTGTTTTACTATCAACGTATGGTCAGGTGACATTAACCATATGTTCATCATTCATGTATATGACGTTTTTGATTGCAACCATGTTTAATGTTCAACTTCCGAAGCAAGATCGTCTGTTCTCCGAACTTTCTCGAAGTTCTTTTAAAATGGTGCTTTCAATGTACATTTTTACAACAATTACGATTGTTGAAATGTTTCCCTTAAGGAATATTTGCAACATCACCTTATTAAAGAAAAAATCCCAGTAAGAAATAGAACGTCCATCTTTGTGTCAAATAGATCATTTTTGCAAATTAGTCAATCATAACCGATCTATGACGCTACAGTGAAATCATCAATAACATGCAATACTGTGCAAAAGTATGTCGTTTGTCCTTCTGGTCATGATGTCGTCTGTCTTTCTGGTCATGATGTTGATTGTCTTTCTGGTCATGATGGTGGTTGTCTTTCTGGTCATGATGTCGTCTGTCTTCCTGGTCATGATGTCGTCTGTCTTTCTGGTCATGATGTAGTCTGTCTTTCTGGTCATGATGTCGTCTGTCTTTCTAGTGATAATGTGATCTATCTATCTGGTCCTGATGTCGTCTGTCTTTCTAGTGATAATGTCGTATATCTTTCTGGTGATGATGTCGTCTGTCTTTCTGGTCATGATGTCGTTTGTCTGTCTGGCCGTGATGTGGCCTGTCTTTCTAGTCATGATGTAGTCTGTCTTTCTGGCCATGATGTAGTCTGTCTTTTGGTCATGATGTCGTTTGTCTTTCTGGTCTTGAAGACGTCTGTCTTTCTGGTCATGATGTAGTCTGTCTTTCTGGTCATGATGTCGTCTGTCATTCTGGTCATGATGGCGTCTGTCTTTCTGGTGATAATGTCGTCTGTCTTTCTTGTCATGATGTCGTCTGTCTTTCTGGTGATAATGTCGTCTGTCTTTGTGGTCATGATGTTGTCTGTCTTTCTGGTCATGATGTTGTTTGTCTTTCTGGTCAAATTGTCGTCTGTCTTTCTGGTCATGATGTCGTCTGTCTTTCTGGTCATGATGTCATCTGTTTTTCTGGTCATGATGTCGTCTGTCTTTCTGGTCATGATGTCGTCTGTCTTTCTGGTCATGATGTCGTCTGTCTTTCTGGTCATGATGTCGTCTGTCTTTCTGGTCATGATGTTGTCTGTCTTTCTGGTCATGATGTCGATCGTCTTTCTTGATATGATGTCATCTGTTTTTCTGGTCATGATGTCGTCTGTCTTTGTGGTCATGATGTCGTCTGTCTTTCTGGTCATGATGTCGTCTGTCTTTCTGGTCATGATGTCATCTGTTTTTCTGGTCATGATGTCGTCTGTCTTTCTGGTCATGATGTCGTCTGTCTTTCTGGTCATGATGTCGTCTGTCTTTCTGGTCATGATGTCGTCTGTCTTTCTGGTCATGATGTCGTCTGTCTTTCTGGTCATGATGTCGTCTGTCTTTCTGGTCATGATGTCGTCTGTCTTTCTGGTGATAATGTCGTTTGTCTTTCTGGTCATGATGTCGTCTGTCTTTCTGGTCCTGATGTCGTCTGTTTTTCTAGTGATAATGTCGTCTAACTTTCTGGTGATGATGTCGTTTGTCTTTCTGGTCATGATGTCGTCTGTCTTTTTGGTCATGATTTCGTCTGTCTTTGTGGTCATGATGTCGTCTGTCTTTCTGGTGATAATGTCGTTTGTCTTTCTGGTCATGATGTTGTTTGTCTTTCTGGTCAAATTGTCGTCTGTCTTTCTGATCATGATGTCGTCTGTCTTTCTGGTCATGATGTAGTCTGTCTTTCTGGTGATGATGTCGTTTGTCTTTCTGGTCATGATGTCGTCTGTCTTTTTGGTCATGATTTCGTCTGTCTTTGTGGTCATGATGTCGTCTGTCTTTGTGGTCATGATGTTGTCTGTCTTTCTGGTCATGATGTCGATCGTCTTTCTTGATATGATGTCATCTGTTTTTCTGGTCATGATGTCGTCTGTCTTTCTGGTCATGATGTCGTCTGTGTTTCTGGTCATGATGTCGTCTGTCTTTCTGGTCATGATGTCGTCTGTGTTTCTGGTCATGATGTCGTCTGTCTTTCTGGTGATGATGTCGTCTGTCTTTCTGGTGATGATGTTTTCTGTCTTTCTGGTGATGATGTCGTCTGTCTTTCTGGTCATGATGTCGTCTGTGTTTCTGGTCATGATGTCGTCTGTCTTTCTGATGATAATGTCGTCTAACTTTCTGGTGATGATGTCTTCTGTCTTTCTGGTGATGATGTCGTCTGTCTTTCTGGTCATGATGTCGTCTGTGTTTCTGGTCCTGATGTCGTCTGTTTTTCTAGTGATAATGTCGTCTAACTTTCTGGTGATGATGTCGTTTGTCTTTCTGGTCATGATGTCGTTTGTCTGTCTGGCCATGATGTGGCCTGTCTTTCTGGTCATGATGTCGTCTGTCTCTCTGGTCATGATGTCGTCTGTCTTTCTGGTCATGATGTCGTCTGTCTTTCTGGTGATAATGTCGTCTTTCTTTCTTGTCATGATGTCGATTGTCTTTCTGGACATGATGTAGTCCGTCTTTCTGATCATGATGTCGATTGTCTTTCTGGTCCTGATGTCGTCTGTCTTTCTACTGATAATGTGGTCTATCTTTTTGATCATGCTGTCGTCTGTTTTTCTAGTGATGATGTCGTCTGTCTTTCTGGTGATGATGTCTTCTGTCTTTCTGGTGATGATGTCGGCTGTCTTTCTGGTGATGATGTCGTCTGTCTTTTTGGTGATGATGTCTTCTGTCTTTCTGGTGATGATGTCGGCTGTTTTTCTGGTCATGATGTCGTCTGTCTTTCTGGTCATTATGTCGTCTGTCTTTCTGGTGATGATGTCGTCTGTCTTTCTGGTCATGATGTAGTCTGTCGTTCTGGTGATGATGTGGTCTGTCTTTCTGGTCATGATGTCGTCTGTCTTTCTAGTGATGATGTCGTCTGTCTTTCTGGTGATGATGTCTTCTGTCTTTCTGGTGATGATGTCGGCTGTCTTTCTGGTGATGATGTCGTCTGTCTTTCTGGTGATGATGTCTTCTGTCTTTCTGGTCATGATGTCGTCTGTCTTTCTGGTCATGATGTCGCCTGTCTTTCTGGTCATTATGTCGTCTGTCTTTCTGGTCATGATGTCGATTGTCTTTGTGGTGATGATGTTGTTTGTCTCCGGTCGTGATGTAGTCTGTCTTTCTGGTCATGATGCCGATTGTCTTTCTGGTCATGGTGTCGTCTGTCTTTCTGGTCATGATGTCGTCTGTCTTTCTGGTGATAATGTCGTTTGTCTTTCTGGTCATGATGTCGTCTATCTTTCTGGTGATGATGTCGTCTGTCTTTCAGGTCATGATGTCGTCTGTCTTTCCGGTGATGATGTCGTCTGTCTTTCTGGTCATGATGTCGTCTGTCTTTCTGGTGATGATGTCGTCTGTCTTTCTGGTGATGATGTCGTCTGTCTTTCTGGTCATGAGGTAGTCTGTCTTTCTGGTGATGATGTCGTCTGTCTTTCTGGTCATGATATCGTCTGTCTTTCTGGTGATGATGTCGTCTGTCTTTCTGGTCATGATGTCGTCTGTCTTTCTGGTGATGATGTCGTCTGTCTTTCTGGTGATGATGGCGTCTGTCTTTCTGGTGATGATGTCGTCTGTCTTTCTGGTCATGATGTCGTCTGTCTTTCTGGTCATGATGTCGATTGTCTTTGTGGTGATGATGTCGTCTGTCTTTGTGGTGATGATGTCGTTTTCTTTCTGGCCATGAGGTCGCCTGTCTTTCTGGTCATGATGTAGTCTTTCTTTCTGGTCATGATGTGGTCTGTCTTTCTGGTCATGATGTCGTCTGTTTTTCTACTGATAATGTGGTCTATCTTTCTGATCATGCTGTCGTCTCTCTTTCTAGTGATGATGTCGTCTGTCTTTCTGGTGATTATAATATTTTTTATTATCATTGATATTTTCCACTTGTATCACATGTTTTGGAAACAATTTCCAAACGAGATTTCAACGTGACTAAAACCTCAGAAGTATTTTCATTATGATTTTCTTATATATTTTCAATGTAAATTAAGTGAACACCGAACAGATGAAAAGACAGAGAAAGTCCATTAAAGTTTAAGCTACTTGAGTCCACTAGACAAACTCATGTGCTCTTGAAGGATCATTCCCTTTATTGCACATCACCAGTATACATCCAATACAAAGTCGTATATTTGTATCTCGGGACATTGTGAACGAGTTAATGAGAACGGTATATGTTTTAGTGCAGTATTTTGTAGAAATATTTTGTTCTAAAATATATGTAGATAACAGGATAATCTCTTACTAAGAACATGTGTTACACATAGTCTACGCGATTAAGACACATGAAATCCTACAATGTTATTGGTAGAAAGCAGTTTATATTCTAAGGATATATTAAGTCATTGATGACTTAATTGAAGCCATCCAAAAACTTCTTCAAATTAGTGTACAGGAACAAACAACACTATAATTCCAAATTATTAACAATTAAGACAAAAAGCAAGTTGTTTTTCTATAAATGTAGAGGCATGGAAAGTATTAAATCATCTATGATCACAAACAATGATCAGAAGACAATGATATCTCACGCAATTTATTATCTTCGTGATGTTTTTTCTATAAATGTAGAGGCATGGAAAGTATTAAAAAAATTGAAAACAACATGTTTAATAATTTCATGCGTCCGAAGCGCTTTTCTGGATTTACCTTCATCAGGAACGCTCAATGCCAAACATTTGAAATCCGAGGGATGTATAAGTACCGAACAAGTTGAAGAGCTATATAACAAAAATACCTAAAACAAATAGCCAAATTCATTTAAGGTCAACTTTGCCTGAGGGAGTTGAAACCTTAGTTTTTTATAATTTCAAAATTTATAAACAGACAATTTAAGAAAAGTTTGTTATAAATCATGTCAGTACCGAAGTACTGACTACTGAGATTAAATCATCTATGATCACAAACAATGATCAGAAGATAATGAAATCTCACGCAATATTTTATCTTCGTGATGTTTTTTTTCTATAAATATAGAGACATGGAAAGTATTAAATCATCTGTGACCACAAGCAATGATCAGAAGACAAAGATCTATCACGCAATTTTTTATCTTCGTGATGTTTTTTGTCTATAAATGTAGAGGCTTTTAAAGTACGAAATCATCTATCACAAACATTGATCAGAAGATAATGAACTCTAACGAAATTCGTTATCTACATGTTGTTTTTCTATAAATGTAGAGGCTTGTAAATTACTAAGTCATATATCACAAATAATGAACTACCACGCAATTTATTATGTAATCGCTCATTTTCCCAAGGGTAAAAAATATGGAAAATAAAAGAAAACAATGCTATATAAATACGTTTAATTATTGTATTGTAAGTTGCACCTGATGATATTAACCAATAGCTATTACGTTATTCCATATACTACATCTAAAGAGATGTGATAGAGAGTACCGACGATACAACGTTACAATGAAAACCAGACACCCAACAGTAAAGTTTGAACCAAAATGGACCAAAATTGCATGTTTTTGCATACAAAATGCATGCATACACGTAAGGAAAAGGTAACTAAAAAAACTGAAACAATGGGCGATCTCATAAAACTAATATTTAATGGTTCTGAAGTGAAGGGATATCCTTTACCGCTCGGAGTATTCGTAGAAATGTCTTGTTGTCAAAGTCAGAAATGTGTAAATATAAGCGGCAATGAGTCGAAAAAGGTTCAATAGTGGTACATTTTAACACATGTTTTGTCAAGCAGTCTTACTCACTGTATGCCGATCGTGTTGATACTAAATTCATAGCTGATAACCACGTAGTCGCGGGGATTTCATCGACCCAGAAACCAGTTAGGCGTTTTTACAAGAAAACAAATGACATGGTGAATGTTAATGCTAATGGTGGTGTATTGTGTCATATCTCTCCTGAATTCATTTGTCTATGTTACTTTAGAAAGAAAGCTGACGTCACAAAAAATGGGATCACCATGATATAGGCCGTTTTAAGTAACTTTATTTGTGGGTAGTCATTCTCATTGGCGAAGTTAGCAAAAGTCACGATTATACCATATTAACATGTAAAATATCTACCCATTTTCTATTTTGAATCCTTTGCTTTACTATCAACGTATGGTCAGGTGACATTAACCATATGTTCATCATTCATGTATATGACGTTTTTGATTACAACCATGTTTAATGTTCAACTTCCGAAGCAAGATCGTCTGTTTTCCGAACTTTCTCGAAGTTCTTTTAAAATGGTGCTTTCAATGTACATTTTTACAACAATTACGATTGTTGAAATGTTTCCCTTAAGGAATATTTGCAACATCACCTTATTAAAGAAAAAATCCCAGTAAGAAATAGAACGTCCATCTTTGTGTCAAATAGATCATTTTTGCAAATTAGTCAATCATAACCGATCTATGACGCTACAGTGAAATCAGCAATAACATGCAATACTGTGCAAAAGTGAAAAAAATAATATTCTATTCATTGATAGATACAATTAACATGATTTTGAAAGGATTGCATACTTATATACTACTTTTGCAACTTTCAATTCAAAATAATAGCATTTTATCATACCTCTTTCTTTTCAATCATACATTCCTACTACAATGTTGTTTAGTATAACGTTCAATATCAAAATATTGCTGCTTTATAAGTATACATGTAAAAAAAAAGGAGATGTGGTATGATTGCCAACGAGACAACTATCCACCAAAGTTCAAATTAAGTGGATGTAAGCTATTATAGTCAACCTTTAACAATGAGATAAACCCATACCGTATAGTCGGCTTTAAAACGCCCCGATATGAAAAATATGAAACAATACAATTGAGAAAAAACTAAACGCCTAATATATAACAAAACAATTAACGAAAAACAAATATGACAGCCATGAACCAACGACAACCACTGAACTACAGGTTCCTGACTTGGGACAGGCACATAAAGAATGTGGCGGGGTTAAACAGGTTTGTTAGCGCTAAACCCCCCTCTTACCTGGGACTGTGGTGTAACATCACAACATAAGAACAAAATGTAAAAATCAGTTGAAAAATGCTTAACTCATCAGAACGATACAAAGCAGAAAAACATCAAACAAAACACAGACCGGAAGTGGTAGGGTATTTATCCATCCCTCATCCCTTACAACAACATAGACACTTAGTACAGATCTAAGAATACTCGCATTTACTGACAGCTAGTTTGAAGCCAATAGCAACTTATAAAAAAAATCATGTATTTAAGACTAAACTATCAATCAGTACACATCCAACATCCAATGGATTTAGTGTTTAGTGTAAAGACGTCATTATAATCAGAAATAAAACCATGACCTTATGCAAAGCCAATATAAAGGTATGGATAGATGGTAATACCGTTAGTGTGCATATGTGTATAGCAATACTATTAAGTATGATTTTGATTTACTGATAACAAAATCAATATTTATACCAATAAAAACAGTATTCAAAGATATAATTACAGTGTTGAATTGATAACCTTTTAGAATAAGTTTTTTTAAAGGCTCGGTAAACAACATCACCGTAAAATTTAGTGTTTTACAGGTACAACAAAACTTGCAAACCAAATCTTTGTATCTATTGAAGAATTTAGTAAAGGTTTTAGGTAATTTGTGGTAACGAAATCTCTGGCTTCATAAGTTACCAGTAATACGTAATACATAGATTGCGCTCGTTGAAATCCAAAACGTCACTACAGACATAGTCGACTTTCACAGATATATATGGTATAAACCAATCTGACAGCAACTCAACAACCTAAATAACAAAAAAGATATCTAAATGGCACCATAAAGTCTCAAAAAATACAGGTGTCTATATGATAATATGCCAAGCTCTAAATTAGTTCAAGTGGGAAAAGCCGAGAATAAATTTTACAGAAACTATCAGGATCCATCGTAACCACCGAATTCTTCAAATATAAGAAAATCATAAAGATATGGCAGCAGAGAACCACTGATGAGATTCTTGACTGAGGACAGGCACATTTAAATGTGGCGGGGATAAAATAGGTTTTTTTTTTTTTATAGTTTAACCCTTTCCTGCTTATGTAATTTCAATCACTTGATTAAACTGCTTACTCTTTTACCGACACTTTGCATGCATTTCGAATATAAATTTCTTCATTTTTGTAATTGCTTCTTAAAATTGAAGATTTGTGTTTCAGGTCATTTAATTTGAATTATTCTGTTAGTTTGATGATAGATAAAAATATATAAGAAGTATCAAATGAAGCCCCCATAAAATGTTGAGCTAAAATTCCACATTCAGCTACATGTCTATGTAGAACATTGATGATTTCTTTGTGGGTTTAAATTGCATATAGTGTTTTGATGATCTTACAACGGGGTACAAAACGTTTTTAATAATGATTTTAAAACTAACAGTAGATATTTTCCAGCATGCATTATTACAGAACAAGGATGTAATTACTGGAGCTTCTAATTCAATTTTTCTTTGATGTGGGTTAATGTTATATAAAATACTGATAAAGCGTTGGTACCCACTGGAATAAATAAAAAGGTTATAATATTATGTATAAGATAAAAATGTAAAGATGAAACTCAGTCTTTTGGATAAAATATGTCAAAATTATAACTTTCCCGATTTTTTCTGAAAAATTATAGACAGAAAAATACTTATGTACGACAACAGGAAAAAAATGTATTACGTATTAAAATGATATGTTTTTAATATATTAAGCTCGTATATTGCGCCATTAAACGTTGAAATGTAGACAAGGACTGTTCTTATTTTTTATTAAAACTTATCTGTTAAATGATTTAATGGAAGCAAAAAATATTATTGTTTTTTGGTGCCGTTCATGTTGCTTAGGCTATATTTTACTTTGTTGTGTTTTGCATACTTTTGTTATTCTTTTGACCGTTTTTCGTTTTTTACCATGGCGTTGTCAGTTTGTCTACGACTTATGAGTTTGAAGGTGCCTTTTTAACTTTTTGTCCTCTCTGTTTAAAATCACTTTTTCCGTGTTTGTTTTTTTCTAAGTCGTAGGCAAAAAACACTTTGTATTTTAAAGAATTGAGGTTAGATATTTAATCCTTCAAAATTGATGTGATAAGAAAAACCTGATCTAATACAATTTTGCTGCTCGACACATTTTTTAATTATATAACATTGTTGACATCAATTAAAAACTGAAAAAGGAAAATTCCCTAAAATGTCCATTTTCAAACAATGTATCTTAATATTTTTTTTTGTTACACCTTTCTTCTGTAATGTCTGATAGCATTTGGTTATTGGTTTGTATTTCAAATACTTACATAAATAGTATTTCAATCTACAATGTTATAGATGTTGATACTTGCTTTTGATTTTGACAGTTGTAATGTACTTTCTTCTTTTTGTTTTAATCATGGAGTTCGGTACTTTTGTGATTACATTTTTAAAATTTTATATAAGTAACAACCCTTCACAGTTGTTCAAAATCGTCATTGTAGGGCATAAATCCAATAAAGAGTCGACTGAAGATTTCGGACATTTATTTTGTGTTTATCTTGCTGATCATTTTAGCTATTTTAAAGTATCTCTGTATCTATTTTAGTTTCTTTGAAAGTTCGTCATTTAAGGGCAATAACTCATATAAGAAGTAGTCTGACAGTTTTGATGCAGATCTTAACATTTTGAACATTTCTACACCTTGCAGGTTGCCTGTATCTAGTTTTCAAAATGTTTGACAATATTTGCATCTTACCCCATATACTCTATTTAAATTTTTTGGCCATATTGGTTGACTGACGGGGTCATCGGACACATTCTTTAAACCTAACTGCTCCTATCAATGACGATTGTGGTAATTTTGGATCTAATAGACTCAGTAGTTTCAGATGAGAACTTATTGTTAGAGTTGATAATAAACGACAGACGACGTCGACAATGACGGACACCAATTAATGAGAATAGCTCACATGAACAGTTGGACTAAAGAAAATAAATAAAATCACAATAACATGTAGTCACTCATTTATGAAAATACCTGGTAGAGTTAAACCAGTCGCGAGGTGTAAGTACTTTCATGACGCATTTGGTACGTTGTAAAATGAAACAGATAACTTAGTGAATAAAAACAAAAATACACCAAAGCTATTCTACCGTCATTTACAAGAGCTAATATAAAATTGTTCTGTCACGGATAAGTCTTATGTGACCTCTTTCACAGAGAATTTTTATTATTTGTACCGATTTAATAACCCGCGGTACAAAATGTACATAAGAAGAGTCGTCTAGGACAACATTAAATGTTACAAAGGAAATCGAGAATGAAGAAAATGTCCAATCCTTTTAAACGCCAAGTGGTACTGTAGGAATTGTTCTTCAAACGTCTTGGTTGATGTACTGTATTAACCTCAAAAACGTAAACGAAAAGGTCATCTAGAAAAACAAATAATTCCTACGGCTAACTCAGACGACAGAGGGTATCTATAACAAACAATGTTATAATGATGTGATTGTAAGAATCTCTTTTTGATGATACGATTCTACTAGAGTGCATATAAGCGTTATCATATTTTGGGTTCAAAGACCTCAGACTATATTTTGAACAATATTCGAATATGAACCAAATGAATCGGATTTACTCTCCCTTTAATAAACCCACTTTCATCATCATACATATATATAAAGTTTTATCCTCCATCTTTATGCATATTTACATATTAATAAACATATTTGTATCATCGCTGCAAAACACATGCGCATTGTTTAGATCACCCGTACTTTTTTATTATAGGGTTTTAAAGCAGAGACTTTGTATGATTTTCTTCTCCCATAAAACGAAATACAGTGTATATGAAAACTAGAATCCGCGATTATGATGTCAAGTATAAAACAATGTTTAATACTGTAGGCGGACATTGAAATTTAACCATAATTCCTTCCATTAAAGTTATGTTAATTTGCATTAGCATATTAATTCCTTTGATGCAAACGATATCAAATAATTGTGGAATTATTCTTTATTACCCTTAGGAATGTGTACTGGTGTTATCTTATTTACACCACTAAATTAATCCCGACTTTCCAGAATATAATATATATATATATATATTCATATACATTTTCCACATGAAAAGGTATAGAGCTGTTCATAGAAAAATGTTTGATATTTTCACATGTTTGGTTTGAAACGAATTAAATGATTTGTTTCTTATATTACTAAATGAACTGTTGACACTTGATTAACTTAATGATTGTTAATGAACTAATATTCAAATGATTTCTAGCAAGCAAAGACCATTTGTCTTTCAAATATTCGGCGTTGGGCGTTCCTGGTGAAGATAAATTTCGTTTGTGACATCATCAAATGAAACTTTTCACTTGATATTTACTCAGAATGACAAATACGACGTATGGAACTAGTGAAGCAGTAATAGTTTACCATTCTAGAGAGACTAATTACCCGCGTGATCATATTTATGATGTCTGCCTGACTTCGACATATTATTTTTGATTGCGACCTTGGAATATTTTTCCCTTTCCAGAAAATTTGCCATATAGAATTTTCGTTTTCATTAAAACTAACAAAGATTTCATGAAATCCACGAAAAAGGGCTGTTT